GTTCACACGGACGTTTTTGGCCCGAGCCTAATTAGGCCCGAGCCAAATCTAGCCCATTTGGCTCGAGCCAAATCATGACCGTGTGAACGCGGCTATTGTGTGCCTGGTAGAAGCATATTCCGGCGACACCTGTTGGCGAGAAATGCTATTACTCTAGCGGACTAATACCAAAGCGTAAACATGAAAACCATGAATAAGCTGATCACTCCAAGATGATTTCATTCGTTCATTAGGTCAGCTTATTACTCCAAGGTAACGCTCACTTGATGACATCGGTGTGCATCCTTACAAAGCGACCGTCGAGTGTGTACGCGTGAGGGAGTGCAAACCCTGACCAGTCGTTGAGGTCAGGCGTGACCCATGCAGCTGTGTCCATTCCTAGCGGCTTCAGAATTCGATCGCTGATGAGCTGCTCGCATGTTTGACCAGTGCCGGATATCTTCTCAGCTGCATAACCCGCTAGCATGTACATCCAGTTATTGTACATGAAGTAGCTTCTGAAGGGTAGCGCCTCTTTAAGATATTTTAATTTCCTGAAATGATATACATCGGTGGTAATATTCTCTGCCGATACTTAGTACGCAGAGGTTACGCGATACAGGTACATGAGACGTTATAGTATAGTATCTGATAGTATGCATGCTATTACGGGGTTTCACCTGGGAGCTCGCACACGCCCGTCTGCTGAGAATGCAAATTCTGTTCTTGCATATTATTATAATTGTTGCTTTGAGCTATTGCTGTAGCGTTGTTAGTGGTGTTGAGAAGGCGCCACCATAACGCTGTACTCCTGTAGTCATAGTATGCGGCTTGTTTCGTGGCTAGACATGTAGCGAACATCCTGAGCAGTGTGCAAGAGAAGACTGCTCTCAGAAAAGTTGGTGGAAATGTGTGTATGCGTGTGTGCGTGCGCGCGTGTGCGTGTGCGTGTGCGCGTGTGTGTCCATATGTGCATGTGTGTGTGTGTGTGTGTGTGTGTGTGTTGTGTAGAGCGAGAGTGCGTGCGTGCGTGCGTGCGAACCGAGCGCTGTGTGCCGTGCGCTGGCGAACGAGCGGCGTGCGTGCTGTGCCCGTGCGTGCGTGCGTGTCGTGCGTGCGGGCGTGCGCCGTCGTAAGGAGTCACACTACGCACCAACGTAGCAAATCATTTAGACTGTATACTATCGTACATTGGGTGATTGGATTTCTTGGGTACGTTACTACGTAATATCACCATCGTATGCAGTCTCGTACCTGACAGCCTGCGCTCGCGTCGTATTGTAGAAACCGCCAGTCATGAAACACCCATCGAACCTTTGAACTCCCATGTCGTGCACAAGGACGTCTCTCAGGCTAGCGTGTTTACTGCGCTGCGTATCTATCAGTGTGAAATTATCTCCAAGGATATCGCTGAGGAGTGTGTCAAAGTTAATTTGTCTGCGAAACAGACATATTGCTAAACATTAGAATCGTCATGCAAATGCAATGCATTGAAATCATTTGCATCGTCATCATTGACATCATCAACATTATTGGCATCGTCAACATCGTCATCATTGACATCATCAACATCGCTCATTGCCATCATCAACATCGCATCATTGACATACATCAAACACGTCAGCATTACATCATCAACATCGTCATCAATTGACATCATCAACATCGTCATCATTGACATCATCACCATCGTCATCATTGACATCCTCAACATCGTCATCATTAACATCATCAACATGTCATCATCGTTGTCATTGACATCATCGTCATCATTGACATCAACATCGGTCACATTGGACATCAATCAACTCGCATCATTGACATCATCAACAATCGTCATCATTGACCTCATCACCAATCGTCAATCATGACATCAAATCAACATCGTCATCATTTGACATCCATCAACATCGTCATCATTGACATCATCAACATCGTCATCATTGACATCATCAACATCGTCATCATTGACATCATCAACATCGTCATCATTGACATCATCAACATCGTCATCATCGTCATGATTGTCATCCTCGTCGTCATTGACATTATCGTCATCATTGGCATCATTGACATCATCGTCATCATTGGCATCGTCAACATCGTCATCATCGAAAACATTGACTTAACAATACAATAAATATTTACTTATTCTCTGTGAGCAGATTTCCTAGCAATGTTGCCGTGAAGGACTTTGTCGCGGATCCGATACAGAATTTACTCTTTTGCGTCACCGGTTCTTGCGTTTCCACGTCGACTACGCCAAACGAGTTACTGTAAACCACTTCGCCACCTTTAACCATGGTGACGGAGACGCCGGGACCAAGGTGTCTGCAGTCCATCACCTGATAATGTGCGAGCAAAGTCTTTTTAGCTCATATTAGATACTAGAAATTCACATCTGGGAAGTGAATGTAAATATTAATTATTAGCTTTTCATGTATATGGATATTTATACGATAGCGTTTGCTTTTATATGTAGAATGTAGAATTAAAAAGCAAATTAAAAGGATTCTTCTCTTCTATTACAGTTTAGCATAGTTGCCTAGGCTTTACAGAGACTCGGTGATAGAAGCGAAGATGCTTGCGTCAGGCATTGAAAACCATGAGCACTAGGAAATTTCATGCGAACGAATATCGACAATTTATTTTACGTTCTACATGATAGAATATACGGTAGCATAGTGACATATAATATAATGTAGTACATATATAGACGGTAGCGTTATTGATGTTGGGTGCCTGGGTCACACTTACGGTCCTTATGTAGTTGTCTAACTTTGCAGTCTCATCCACTGTTAATGCGCTTACGCAGCTTCCGAGAAGGGCGGACAGCCATAGCAAACTAATAACAATCCGTGTCATATTCATCGCCGACATTTCAAGTTATAAATGTGGACGTGCGTGCACCTGCTCACGAAATGACAGCCAATATTGATCTCATATACTACATATACAAACTGTGTGTTTATATATTATATAGTATCTGCGAACTTCGTACCCAACCCCATGTTCACAACGAAGGTAGATATTTATAAGTGGCAAACAAAAACCAAAAAAAAGACAAAGCTGTAATATATAAATCAGAAATACTATTATTCATTGATTCACACAACATATAAAAACAGACAACAATTATAAATTTGTGCATGTTTCTATATTAAATAGGTAGCATGAAAACTTCAGCGCCAGCAGTTGTAAGAAATATATTTCTTTTTGCCCGCCGATCGCACCAATCCAATTATTCTCCGCGTTGATTTTTTCAAAGTCTTTAATCTCAATAAGAAAGAACGCGAAGTGAACGTACTTTCCGATTGAGGTTTATTCGGTATGTTCTCTGCACAAGCAAAGAATACCAGTATAATAATACCGCCCTGTCGACGGCTGCCCAACGATGTACCCATCTGTATGAGCGAGATAGCCATGCATGCTGCGTTTGAACTTTCTAGGTCAGTCGCATTATACGCGTTACTCACGCATGCACGCGACTTTGTGGCACTTCGCTGCCAAACATAGTTTTAGAACGCTCTATCACAACTATGATTGGCAACAACCTCGCAATGCCGATTGGTTGGTTGATTTGACTTTTTTCTGATAGACTCATTATCTATATAGATAGGCTATCAAGGATAAATGATCCAGACTATCAAGGATAGAGCATGCAGGCTATCAAAGATATAGCCCGACCAGGCTGTGCGACGGATTGTCTATACGGTATTTTATTAACCATAGCAATACCGTTTCTTGGAGCTATCAAGGATAGATCATGCAGGCTATCAAGGATAAAGCATGCAGGCTATCAAGAATATAGCATTCAGGCTACAAGGATAGATGATCCAGGCTATCAAGGATAGAGCATGCAGGCTATCAAGGATAGAGTATGCAGGCTATCAAGGATAGATGATTCAGGCTATCAAGGATAGAGTATGCAGGCTATCAAGGATAAAGCATGCAGGCTATCAAGGATAGATGATCCAGGCTACCGAGGATCCAGGGAGAAGTGTTCAGACATCGTCTTCAGTTTGGTGAGAGTTCTTCGCACTGCATCCGTCCACGAGCACTCGTCGTAGACGATACCCAGTTCTTTGCACACCCTCCGCACGTGTAGACTGGCGCGACGAAAGTGACAGCGGGGCATTCTCGGGAAGAGGTGATGCTCGATGTGGAGATTCAGTCCGCCGTGGAACCAGTCTAGCCACGGTGGGTTGGCGATGTTTATGTTGGCTTCCACCTGAAAGCGGTAGAAGTCGGTGCGCTGCATGACCCGCTGCTCGCGAAACGGCTTCGCGTAGTGGCTGATGAGAAGTTGTATGTGCAGCACGCCCTCCCCCATGCAGGCGATCCCGTACACGACGCATGCCTCCCGCCACGAAGGTAACGTCGATAGCAGCCAGCTGACGCACACCCAGTGCACTGCAGCGGCGAGCCACTCGTACCAGGGCCGCCGACCAGAGAAGCTGTCGACGACGATGGCGACGCGGCCGGCGAGCACGCACAGCGGCACGAAGGTGAGATGCTGCACGCGCACGGCCGCGCGATGCCACCTGGTGGCGAAGTACGGAAACAGCTTGGCGTCCTGCGCCCACGTCGCCTCCCACATCTGCGGGTCGGCGAAGCGACGCGCGTAGTCGACGACGTTGGTCAGCGCGTGATGCACGAAGTGCTCGTCACGCCACCAGGTGGCGCTGATGCCGATGCAGCAGGTGCCGACGACGACGCCGACGGCGTGGTCGATGCGCCGGACGTTGGTCAGATGCGTGTGCATGGCGTCGTGCATGAGGAACCCGCACTGCTGCCAGAATGATGCCAGCAGCAGCCCGCCGCAGGCGTGCGCCAGCGCCTCCTGGCGGCACGCGATCGCGTACACCGCCGCGGCCAGCAGCGCGGCGATGACGGCGAACTTTGCCGGGTACCACCGCCAGCTGGCGCGGAAGTAGCCCTCCCTGTCGAAGTACTGTCGGAGATTCTCGAACGCCCGCCGCGCAGGGTCGCTGTCGTCGGGCGTGTAGGAGCCGACCGGTCTCCGGTGCTTCAACACGTTACGACCCTGGTGGAAGGCGTGGAACGCGGCCGTCGCGTCGCAGCCGACGAACTGCTCTATGATCTCACCGCCGGGATGGAAGGCCGTGAAATTGGTGACGTCATACCAGCGGCCTTCGATGCCTATCAGTTTCGTCGATTCGTCGCTTGGATTGACGCAATCTCCCGCAGACGCGGTCGTAGTGTCGTCCGACGCATCTAGTCTGTGAGCGACCTCTGGTGGTGCAGTCGGCAACATACGTTCGGCATCCGCCCGCTTTCTGAGTGAGCTCTCCCTTGTCATCTCTACCGCAGAGAGAGTGTGCAACATATTACATCATAAATAATAATATGGAAATATATATATACGGAAATAATTGCCATAACCCTAAGGCACACAACTGGGCAGTGGTATAAATCAGATATACATGTAACTCGTTTATAACACGTTGAGTGGGTGAGCTGAAAACCAACGACGCTACACGCAAATACCGCAGAGTTCTACTGCTTCTCTTTTTTCTACTCAGTTAAATGTTCTACGCAGTGGGATAACTGTACTTATGCTCAGCACGTAGTACGTGAATATATGCCACAGAGCAATGCTCGCGGGCGTGCGTGCGTGCGTGCGTGCGTGTGTGCGCGCGTGCGTGCGTGCGCGCGCGTGTGTACGTGTGCCTGTGTGTGTGCGCGCGCGCTTGTGCGTGTGTGTGTGTGTGTCTGTGTGTCTGTGTGTGTTTGTGTGTGTTCGCACCTGTATGGTGTGCGGTTTGTCAATTTAGTCCAACCATATGTCGGTTTACAAACACACACCATATTTCCGCCAACCATACACATTGTAACGTCACCAACATGTTATTTATAAGAATCTTATCTTACTTTACAGAAACACGTGTATATACATATTTCCTACCAACAGGTGCGTGCGCCACCGAGCCACAATTCCCCCCGCGCACACTAGTTTGCTAAACCATACTAGTAGTTGGGCAGCGAACGATATAGACGGTTTGTCTATATTCATGCCGGTACAGGAGATAATTTGCATATTTTATCACGTGGTTTTGCGTTATAACCATCAGATGTAATCGCTGTGTTCGTGACGTCACTTCCAGCTGTGAAGAAGATGGTGAAGAGGAGGACGGGAGAAGCGGAGAGTGGTGGAGAAGGAGAGGGCAGAAGCTGGTGAGAAGGAGGAAGGGGAGAGGGAGAAGGTGGTGGAGAAAAGAGGAGGGGAGAAGCTGGTGGAGAAGGAGGAGGGGAGAAAGGGGGAGATAGCTAGTGGAGAAGGAGGGAGAAGCTGGTGGATAAGGAGGAAGGGGAGAAGGGAAAAGGTGGTGGAGAAGGAGGGAGGGAGAAGCTGGTGAGAAGAAGGAGGAGAGAAGCTGGTGGAGAATAAAGAAGGAAGAAGGGAGAAGCTGGTGGAGAAGGAGGAGGTGGTGGAGAAGGTGGTGGTGAAGGTGGTGGAGAAGGGAGAAGGTGTGCCAGGGAGCAAGGGCACCTCCGCTGCCACCTTCTCACCACCTCCTCCTCCACCAGCTCCCCCCTCCTCCTTCTCCACCAGCTTCTCCCCTCCTCCACCACCTTCTCCTTCTCCCCCTCCTCCTTCTCCACAGCTTCTCCCGTCCTTCTCCACCGCAATTACATCTGATTGGTTATAAACACAAACGCACGTGAAAAAATATTGCCAAATTATCTCCTGTACCGGCGCCTGAATATAGACAAACCCAAGTAGTTTGCAGAAACATGGTTTCGCGCGCGCAGTGTGCAAACCTTTGACCTACGTACGTGGAGGCGATAACGTAGCCTCGGCGCATATGGCGCCGCCGATTCCGAACCCTCCAACGGCCACCGCTCGCTATTGAGCACGCTTATGGAAAGCATTTTTGTACCAAAAAGCCATAAAACCTAGTTTTAGAACCCTAAAACCGGTTTTTAAGGTCTTAATAACCGGTTTTAAGGTCTAAAAACCAGGTTTTAAGCCTCTTAAAAGCCTAGTTTTAAGCCATAAAACCGGGTATTAGGCCTAAAAACCTGGTTTTAACATCTTAAAACCCGGTCTAAAACTAGGTTTTACGGTCTAAAATAGGTATTAAGACCTTAAATCCTGGTTTTAGAACCTTAAAGCGTTCAGCCGTGCAGCCGTTAACCCCCCCCCCTCCACCACCACACCACCATGCGCTATAAAGCTATGGGCCGTAGGAAAGTGTACTAACTCTAATATCTCGCGAACGAATTGAGTTCATTTCTAAAATTCTAGATACATATAAACACAAGGTGTCTTAGCTATGGTCGTGAATATGAAGTTTATTGACGCAGCGGACGATTAAGTTTAATTAATTAAAAGTGTACTATAATGTATAACTATACCATATGGCGCGAACAAATTGAGTTAACATTTCTAAAATTCTAGATACATACAGACACATATAGTTTCATAACGTTGAAATTGACATTTTCGGGAAAATCTCACGAACGTGCGGAAATTTTAGCCTACTGTAATGAGCGATACCGCGCGTATATAAACTCAAAATTCACGGGAATTATAGCTACGACATGTGATATGTATCTAGAATTTTAGAAATGTACCTCAATTCGTTCGCGCCATATGGTAGTTATATATAGTACTAGCGGGACACCCGGCGTTGCCCGAGGAAATCAGTGGCGTTTACTCAGGTAGGTGACCGCTTGGTTGAACAAAGAAAACGCCCAAAAAATCTAAACTATCTATCTATCCATGCATCCATCCATGCATCCATCCATCCATCCCATTCCATGCCATCCCATCCCATCTCATCGCAGGCCCATCCATCCATCCCATCCCATCCATCCCATCCCATCCCATCCATCCCATCCCATCCCATGCCCATCCCATCCATCCATCCCATCCCATCCCATCCCATCCATCCCATCCCCATCCATCCCATGCCCATCCATCCCATCCCATCCATCCCATCCATCCCATCCATCCATCCCATCCCATCCCATCCCATCCATCCCATCCCACTCCATCCCATCCCATCCCATCCCATTCCTATCCCTATCCATCCCATCCGCATCCCATCCCATCCCCATCCATCCCATCCCATCCCATCCCATACCCATCCATCCATCCCATCCCATCTCATCGCATCTCATGCCATTCCATGCCATCCCATGACATGCCATGCCATGCCATGCCATTGCACCGCATCCCATCGCACCGCATCCCATCCCATCCCATCCCATCCCATGCCATCCCATATGCCATCCCATGCCATTCCATCCCATCCCAAACAGTAAAAAATAATAAGAAATCAAAAGATAAAAGACATTAAATATAAAAAATTAAACGTTAAAATTATAAAATTAAAAATAATACATACTAAAGAGGTAGGTAAATCTTCGTAGGTAGATCCCAGACGTGCTGATTGTGAAAATATCTTTAGTTTTCCTCTATAGGCTGCGGAGTTCTCTGCCACGTTATCGCGAGTAGAACTAATTCTGGCTGAACAACTTATATATAATAGACAAGTTAGTAACGATGTGACGTGCACTCTACTGAGAAATATCGAAATGTAATAACTATATTATATAGGTAAGTGAATGCTGTTATCATAACTCTGTGTATACTGTGTACGTTATCAACTTCAGATTACTTATTGCCTTTGCTCTATGGTAAGATTTCAGCATGACGCAGCAAAATACCCCCACGCACCAAATGGGCGTGCTTGTACACATACGAGTCGCATATGATGTGATAACGGGAGTTCTTAAAAAGCAGAAACGCAAGAGTTGTAAAACAAACAATGTTCAAATGTCGCTTTGCTTTTCCATATTTTTCCGAGCGAGACGAAAAGAATTATTATTTGCAAGCGTGCCACGCCCGCGGAACGTGTTTTCTATACACGTAGGCTTTAATAAATTTCGCATTTCTTTTTGCGAAATATCTCATATCTATCTCGCCACTTGGTGAAATGTCAGCGTATACGTAGTCACGCCATCCACGCACGCACGCACGCACGCACGCAACACTTGCCTCGCGCGCACGCACGCACATTCACGCATGCCCGAACGCATGTCGGCACGTTTGCAGGCACGCATGCACGCATGCACGCACGCACAGTTGCACCTACCCGCGCACGCTGGCACATTCACGCATGCCCGAACGCATGTAGGCACGCATGCAGGCCACGCACGCACGCACGACGGGCACCGCACGCGCGCACATACAAACTCCAACACCCGCCGCGGGTACACGCACGCGCACATGCGTTTAAAAGAAAGCAATAGGGGACGCGCGCATATACGCACACTCTATAAGCAGATCATTGCAGCTGATTTTTTAGTCGTAAATGCAGAAGATGTTTGATAAGAATAGTCAGGAGTTGGGTCTACGTGACCGAGCCGAGGTAGACACGAGTTCATCGGGTGAGTCAACGTGAAATGACAGGTGCGATAATGCTATCATGAGTGATGGCTGGATTTTATAATGCACACGAACTGAATTGATAAGAAATTTGGCGAGTAGAAAAATCTACGTACTGACTGCGTGATAAACAGCCTTTATATAGTGTAGCGGCAGCCTAATTCGTGCGCCCACACGGGTCATGAAAGGCGGCGAGCATGGTGCGCGCCGGCGGCGAGATAATGTGCGCCGGGGGTGCGTAGTACGCGCCGGCGCGAGATGTGTGGCGCCGGCGGCGAGTTGGTCGTGGCGCCGGCCGAGCAGAGTTCGCCGGCGGCGAGATGTGTGTGCGCCGGCGGCGAGACAGCTGTGCGCCGGGGTTGCGTAGTGCGCGCCGGCGCTAGATGGTACGCGCCGGCGGTGAACAGAACACGCCGCGAGCGCGGCAGCTGGCTGGCACGCGCCGGGTGCGCGCGGGTTACGTGGGGCGTTCGCGAGGGCGGCGCCGGGGTAGGCGGCACGGCCGGATAAGGTAGCCGGCTCGAGGACGCCAGTGCATTAGCCCCCATAGGATTTATTACACGCGGCATCAGGCTAGCATACCCTGCCAAGATCACCAATGACAGTGCTCTGGTTTTAGAAAAAGCGCGCAACAATGTATTACTTTGTCAGCGCGGTTGTAGTTGTTTTTACACAGTGGCCATTGTATTTCTGGTCTAGCGACTTCGCGATTTGGTGTCATCGCACGTGCGTGCAGGTATTTTGGCGCGAAGCCCTGTCATTGGCCTAGAGATGTGCGTCTTCAATCCGGATGCGTGAAGGCAGTAACTAACGGCAACATGTAATTTCAGCGCGAAGAAATTATCATTGGTTAATGAGAAGTGTATTTGAATCCGCGGAGGGCTATATAAGGAGGACTTTACGA